CTTCTGGCTAGGGGCTGCTGTTCAATGATAACTTTAGGCAGCAGGCCAGATTTGAAGGCATGCCTGTACATTGAAACATCAGGAAAGCAACACACAGGCATAAAAACTGAAGCCAGTCCAGAGTCATCATAAGAAACTGTAACAATTTACAAATACCCAACTTACTACTTGTAGGGACTGCTTTAAACTAGTGCTGTCTCACAACTGAGAAGCCATTATACAATGGTTTTAAGCACAGAGTAGGGGTCCCCAACTATGACAAACTTGAATAGCATGAGCTACTATTTGGTGCGTCTGGGGGTGGTGAACAAGCAGTAATAAGGAAAAAGTGCCAGTAACCCTGTAGAAGACTTGCAGAGACACAACCTGCTCGTTTGCCTCATTAGTCACCACTGCCTGGCCAGAACAGAATAAGCCATTAATTTTTTTTTTTGGCACAAGGTGGAGGTACAGGTTGATTTACAAATCAGATGGAGCAGTCTATTCCTCAACTACTGCTTCATTCTTGCCTATTATTGGCACAGTTACTGCTCAGAAAATTGCCTCTGGAAGCAGACAATCAATGCTTTCTGTATTTCTATGTGACATCCATTAAAAAAAAAATAAAATCCTTAATTCATTATAGTATCTTCATCTCTCTAATGGGAGGCTCCAAGCAATCCAACAAAGCTGTGAACAATTAATGTCCCAGAAACAGCAAAACGATTCCTGCTCTAAGTGGAGGCCATTGGACACCCATTCCCACTATCAGGTCAGAAACAAGTCACAGGTGCAAAGCATGTTTAGAGGAAACCAAGCAACACCGAATCGATTTCGTATGATAAATGTACAAGTATCCACAATAAAGAACAAAATTACACAGATCTACTTCTGTATTGTAATGTATACGATTTTTGAATCACAGGGTTTAATATCTACACTGCAGTAAGTTTATCAGAAATGCTTATAATGACTCTTCAGTGCTTTTTCTGGTAACGTTCTGGATGTTTCTACCCGAGTAGGACACGAAGCTATTAAATAACCACTGCTTGGTACCTCAAACTTTACCTCAAGGTAAAGTGATTTAGCGCAACACACAGTCCAAGTACTTTTTAATCAATAAAGACGCGTATTGTGCTCACTGCTGACCGACCGGGAGCTCGTCTGCAGACACAAGCCTTATCTTGCCTCTCTATTTGTTTCTCTTTTATCTCGTAACTGAAACAAGTTACCTCTCCCCTGTTTTTCCTCACCTGGACCCAGCGCGGGGCGGGCAGCGGCCGCGGTGCCTCCCCTGCCGCGGGCAGCAGC